TTAATAATTATGTGATCGGTATCGGTGATCGGCCGGGATCGGCCCTCATGGGTGATTGGAATCGGAATCGGCAGGAAAAAACCTGATCGGCACATCTCTAGTAAAGACCTTTGTCTGCATTTCTTGTTCTCCTGGTTAAGTATGCTGAAACAGGCATAATCCTTGTAAATTAGAGCAAACAGCTTAAGAAGGTGAAGAAGATTCCAGATGGCTCTTTACTTGCCTTGTTTATTAAAGGGTATGGTAACAATGGAAATACACATGATACTTAATATGCTTTTCCCTTGCTTTAAAAGTGCAGCAACATTACATTGATGATCTGAAAGTCTTGGTGCACCCAGTGTTGTAGACTTAGAAAATTTACGGAAGACATATCAGTTCTTGAATAACAAAATTATCTTTATGCTTTGCCTTTAAACATGGGTACTGAAATGATGTCGGAAAGAAAAATACAGAAATATCTCAAGTTGTAATCAGACTGAGAATTTGAGAGACTATAGTATATCATCTCCCAAAAGATTTCATCTAGTAACATAAATTAAATCCTTTTAAACAACCATCCACAGGTTAAATTCTTATGCATTAAATACTTTTCAATATTTCCATTTCTTTTAGTAATTCAATATATCTGGCTTACAAAGTCCCAGCTTTTTAGGCTATATTTTTACTTTTTGCTGCCCAAGATATTATTGCACTGATAATTGAGAGGAACCTCTCTCAAGTACACTGTAGGTGTAGGGTTTCATTTTTGCTTTGACTGAAAGCTCAAGGAAGAACCTCCAGACATATTCCTCCTCAGAGGGACGCAAGTCAGTTGGCCTAACAAGGAGAGTGGTTCAGACCTCAGACTCCAGACTGGAGACCCTGCCCCAGGGCTTTGGCACATAAGGACTGTTGACTCTTCGCGCCACAAGGACTTGCCTCCGATCTCGGCTCCCTGAACCCAAGTCCTCTCGCTTTGTGCCATCATAAGGCCCAAACATGTTGTGGTAAGCCACTGGTCTGTCCGTCATTCTAGGGAGCATTGCTGTGTTTTCTGGGCAGTGGCTGGTACATGGAAACAAGTGGCACATGTCCTTTGAGCTGTTGTAGAACTGGGACGGTCCTTGTGGGAGAGGCCCCACATACACTGGTAAATCTGTGTACGAATTCAGGTAGGTGGAATAATGTCTGTGCACCACCGTAGAGGAGGAGCGGCGCAGTGCAGCGGCGTTCTGTAGGATAGCTTCCCTGTAAGAGGGCAGCCGGGTAGAGTCAGCGTACTTTATCTTTTGCTTGTAGGGGTAAGAACCCATATGGGCTGGGTCTAAGTAGGCTGGCTCAGCGGCCAGTGGGTAACAGGACAGGTTGTGCCCCAAACTGCCATACAGCCTGTGAGGCTTTGGATTCGGCCCCACCACCTGTGGAAACAAATCAGGCATGTCTGTTCGGGTGGAAGGAGCTGTGGATGTGGAAGGCTTTGTTTCATCTACCTGACGGATTCTATCATTGCCCCACGTGGCTTTAAGAAATGAGGCTCGTCGATTTAACTTGTCCTTTCCTAAGAGGGGGATTTCGTCCATTTCTGGCTCCAGGTAAGACTTCATGCAGGAGTTGCAGCTGGTGCTGCTGCCGGGGTAGTGTCCTGGAGTGCAGGCCATTGCCATACCATCAGGGACCTGGTTGTTTAGGAGGTGATTAGCTCTCAACTCAGCAAAGCAAGACCGTGGTTCATCGTAGTCGACTCTCACTCTTGGCTCTGGATTATTAAACAGATAGCTGAAAGACCTCCGTCTCCGGCTTACACAGTCTGGGGGGTAGCTGAACTTCCTGTGGAGGGGTCCCTTGTGCTCCACGTAAATGTCAGGTACCTGGAACTCCCTGTAGGAAACAAAAGGGGATGCTGGGTGCCGGCCCTGGTTTTCCACATACAGCCTGCTGCTGTGGTGGGGATTGGACGTTCCAGAGGGAGTTGGATCTCTCATGGCAATGTGTGGGCTGCTGAGGCTGGAAATGGGCAAAGTTCTCTCCAACAGATGCTGACTGCTGCGTGTAGGCAGAGTGTACCGAAGAGGAGTGGGTCGGGTTACCACCCTGGGCTTCTCTAGAAGGGGCTGGGTGGATGTGTCCCCGTAATGAACTGGGAACGTTGGTGTAATGGCCCTCTGAGGGTAGGGGGAATGATTGTCTGTTATACTGGAGATGTAGGGTAGCCGGCCGTGGGTCACATCTGTGGTTGTAACTCTGGGAGGAAGGCCAGCTCGCACATTGTCGGCTCCACGTCTGCTCCAGTTTTCTATTGTTTTGGTGGCGCTATCGAGAGAGTTCTCAACTCTGGCAGAGGACACCATGTCCTTGGCTGTCCTCAGCATCTTAAGCATGTTGGCTTGAGTGTAGTTGGTGGTGACGTCTGGACTCTGCAGGCTCCCATTGTGATCAGTTTGCTCTACTCCGTTAAAGCAGCTGTAGATGCCCTGTAAATGGATGGAAAGGTAAAATTAAATAAACCTGCAGCCTACTGAACTGTTGATTATGTTTTATTACAATCACAGATTATTTCCCCATTAATAAAATCTCCTATGGACATCAGACGTTAATAAGGTGAAAGCTTGTTGAAGAAGAATATTTATCCTTGTTTATGTGACTGTTTCTGTGATTGAAAGGATGCTTTTATGCTGCAGGATATTGGACATGAGTCCTGAGTTAGTTGCTGATCATGCACTTAGTATATTAGTTTCTCCATTTCGCCCCAACTAGCTTTATTTTACTTTCAAATTGTGTATTGCTCTGGAATGCAGAATCTCACCTTTGACCACAGTTGATACAGAGATGAAGGTTTTTAATGGGGTAATTTAAATTCAGTTTCTCAGGCATCATGACCATTTTTTTCAGCAAACAACCATAAAATCCTCTTTCCACTATGAGGTTGTCATCATCTTTGGAATATTATAATTATGGAATAACTTGCTTTATTAATGCCTGTTTGATTTGTTTGAAGTTGTACTTTTAGGTAAAGCTTCCTACCTGTTAGTGTTACCTCTCTTGCTATTTAAACACTGTATGAAGGCACGAAATTATAACAGAAATTCACCAAATCAGTGGGTGATTGGCATGTCAAATACTGAGTCATTTAATACATCAACACTAAAAAGTCAGTTTCTTTTTTAAGAAACCTGAAGATCATATTTTCTCTTTAATGTACCATTAGAAGAAAGAATTGGAGAAATATAAAAATCAAAATACAACCAGAAATGATGTTAAAACAACTTGGTCTATTTTATTATGTGATAATTACTTACTCTGCTGATAGCCAGGAGAAAGTCCAGTCGGTCTGATTTGCGAACTGAATGGCGAAGTTTCCAGTAGAGCAGATGTTCCCAGGCAAACACCAGTAGGCTTAGGCCCATGGCGACAAGCAGCATGTAAAAAACTCCGGCCATGTTGTCGATGTCCAGCTTACTGCTCATGACTTCTTTCTTTTCGTTACGACAGATACCTGTGAGCCAGACGGTTTGCAACTTTTGGGTGTCACCTGTGTGAAAAAACAAGAGAGAAACATTTTGGTTACATGAAATGTATTTTTATACAGAGTAAGAGCATTTCCTCAATTAGTTAATTTGTGAAGCTGAGTATTTTTACTGTGAAACAGAACATTTTACTGTAAAGCTGCATGTTAAGGAGAGTTTCTTCAGAAGACAGACTGATGTGAGAAGTAAAATATCAGCCATACTAGTGGCCTCTGTTTGTCATTTATGTATTATGCATTACACGTTATAATTTCTCTTTCAGTTTTATAAATTCAACTAAAGGTGAATAGCAGAATAAATCAACTTCTGATTTAGTTTTATTCAAATTTTCTTTATATAGTTGCTATTAGCAACAATGTGCAGATAGCACATTGTTACTGTTAGCTCTCTGTGAGCATGTTGAATGTAACTGCATCATAATATTGATGTTTTTGGGTAGTAGTTCTAATTTATGAAAGCACAACAAATACCATCAGCCAGGAACTGCAGCAGGGCAAGGTCGATGGGGCGCTTCCAGCGTGAATCCTTCTGCAGAGCAATTCCATAACCAGTAGTAGCAAACACTTTCCCGCTGCCAATGGTGACCAGTTTGCATCCTTCGTCTTTGCCAGCCATGTAATTCAGCACAGCAGCATCATAGATAAAGGCATCCAGTTTCCTAACGTTGTAAAACAGATTACACAAATAATTTAGTTGTTTGGCTCTTCTTCCATTTCCACATTGTGTGTTCATGTCTCTCTTGGCAGAAACCTACCCTGTTTTAAGGCTGTTGAGAGCATCCTCTACTCCTTTTTGGTTGTATTTGACCATGTGGGAGTGCATCTCGGGGTAGTTACTCCTTATGTTGCGCTCTGTGCTGCCATTTGGGACTGTACCAAAGCGGAACGGAGGATACTGCTCCTGTGGCTTTTGAAACTGTTGATGGATGTGGAACAATATTTTATATTAACAAACATGATTCTTGTGCTTATGTAGCTAAGCAGAAGTTTTAGTCGTTTGCTTATTGTTCTATATATATAGTTTGACATACTGTGTAGGTCATAAAATAGTTTTACCCATCTTTGATTTGATTACATTTTACTCTGTTTAGCCATGAAGAAGTGCTACAAAAAGCAGGGCGTAAACAGAGAGCACACACAGAGTTATGGAGGACTGATCCTGCCAAAGCTGGAAATGAATTAATAAAGTAGGAAATAAAGCAGTAAGTAAAACTGTAAATATGTAACTAAATGAGGAATTAATAATGTATTAAGTGTATTCGATAGGGACAGGCACACAATATCAGACTGAATAAACATCAGCCACATTTCTGCATATTGATGCTTTTAGCCTGAGCTAATCTGTCTCACTTTTTCTTAGATAGGCTTTTATAAACAATATAACTATAAACAATTGGAATTAAATAACTATGGCGTAAATCAAATGTATGTTTTAATTATTTATTTCCACATTTAGTGGTAGAAACACCCACCTCATTACAATAGAATTGAGAGGCAAAAGGAAAATTTTAAATAAATGCAATAGCAAATGTGGAAATGAATAATTGCATAATATATTTATTCCAAAATATATATTTTACAGTGATATTGAAAAATATATTTTTGCATATTTTATTTCCTCATGTATTAATTTATTTTAACTTTATTTGTTCATTTTATCTACTTAGTTTCTTCCCTCTTTTATTTATGCATTTACTTCCTCATTAATTCATTGTCAGTTTTGGTAGGATCAGTCCTTCATAGTAGGTACTGGCAATCAATTTTTTTTCTTTATATTTTTTGTACTATGAATGCATTTTTATTTCTAACGGTTTTTGCGATTTTGGGGGGTAGGTGTACCTTGCCACAAACCCACCTTTGAGTAGAAAAGCATGGGGTTTTGAAAGCTGATTACTTAAATAAATCAATTTGACACTTATTTGTAATGACATTCTTTAAATATATATAAATCATATTGAAAAACATGAATATGTACAGTACAAATAGCTTATTTTTAAAATGAAGGTTCTTTAAAAAATGCCATTTTGAAAAATAAAACAAATTTCAATATTTCCCCTGACAGCAGAGATGGCATGTTTGTGATACCATATTAAAAAATATATGTTGAAACCAAGCCCATCCTGCTATGTGGTCTTAACAGGCTCAATTTTTTGTAGGGGTCTGGGACTGTTCAACAAAGATTTATTAGGCCGCAAAACTGCTTCCAAAGCTAATTTGACCGACGGAAAAAAGTTTCAAAAGTTGACAAAATTAAGTATTTTTTGAGCACTCCCCAAACTTATATTTTTCATCAGATTTCAATAAAACTTCTGTACTACAGATAAATTAAGCTGCTGAATAACATAAAGGCATCCATTTTTGGCCATATTTAATAGTTTCCTTGATATTGCTGGTAGGAAATAGGGATTGTTTGTTTTTAAAAAAATCAAAATTTTGAGAATTTTTAACTTGCACCAAAATGTTTATTTTTGTATGCATTTCATTGAAACTTCCTTCCTAGATGTCAATTAGGCTGCTGCATCATATAAAAACATTTATTTATGGCTATCTTTAGTAGTTTTTTCTATATTGTTGGCAGAAAATGGAAATTGTTTCTTTAGATTTCTTTCTTTATGGAAAATTCGCTACTACCGACCATCTGAAAAAGTGACAAAGAAAGTACAGTTTTTCATAAAAAGTGTCTAGAATATATCATTTTAGTATAGATACAGTCACTTCATCATGCCACCACCCACATAATGATGCCCTGGGCAGTTGCCCATGGCTCCCATATCAGAAACCGCCACTGAGGACGTCTGCTAACGCGCTTCATGTGCCATTTGTGCAATTGCACAAATCGTACAAAATCAGCACAAACCTAAACCACACAAATACAGGTCATCATGCATAATTCCCGTGACCCATAAAAACAGCGGATCTAATCCGCTTTTTTATTATTATTAAATAATAAGGACAGGGAAGCAAAGCATACCTGTGGAAGAGGAGGAGGGGAAGGAGGAGGACGATGAATAACCCCACGTTCAGGTGAGGAGGTGAAGGGACCATGTTTGCTTAGTTTTTCCTCTTTTGTAAAAGTTTCGACTAGATTTAACTTTAGATTTAACTCCTCCCGCAGTCTTTGTGCGGGGCTCCGGCAGGTCGCGTTAGATCGCTGTGGAGCTCGGCATAGCGCGGTAGATGTCATGATCAGCCAGCCGGACGGTCCGTCCGCTTTTCAGTTTGCAAAATCACAAAAAATTTGTTTAAACAGCATCCCCGCTAGACCGTGCACACGGTAAAAAGCTCAGGAGGGGTTCACTCGATCCGCTCTTAGAACTACCGGAGGCTTAAAACTCCGGTTATTCGTTTTTAGCTAGCTTCACCACGTAGCCACATTTAGCTTACAGAAAGAGCGAAAGCTGGAAGGGGCGCCTCGGGGGAGGTCCGTTCGTGTGTTGATATGCGTGGGGCGTCACGCACATTGATTCTGCAAGTGTGGTTCCAGTATTATTTTAAAGCTAACAAATTGATATTTATTTTGATACCCATTTTGTCGGGTTTATTTTTTATAATTTGTTCGCTATTTGACGAAGTTTTGATACTTTTATGATTTATAAAAAAACTAAAAAAATAACCCTTGACAAACCGGGTATGTATAGAAAGCCAATAGTTTAAGGATTAATATGATATCACTGTTGGCTCATTTGGTCATGTGTTCGTGACGCCCGAACCGATTTTCTTGGACAATGTTTCAGCGCCTTTCAGGAGGGGCGTTCGAATTAGCTTAAATAATGCGGCTTTTCAAAAATTTTCTGAAAATTACTGGGAAATTTAAAGTGTTGTATTTGCTTCAACATACATAAAACTGGTATCATTGGAAAGGAAAATCAATGAACAGCAGCAGTGTTGCTTTTGGAAAAAAAATATTCTGAAAAGGACTTTTGATGGTGGGAAGCTAGGGCATTTTCTGTGATCAGCATGCGTTCTCTCCCATTCCTGAGTGGAAAGAGCGTCGCTGCCGGTACCTATTCATAGACTGGATATATAGTGGCATCTGTTATCTTTCCCCCACTGCTCAACTGTTCATATCGTTGTCCTGGAGGCTTTGTGTTGTGTTAATGGACACAGCTAACATAGGTATTATAGAAAGGAACTTAAAGTCCAGGATGCTGTCCAGGGGGATCTAGACTTCCTTCATCCTTCTGTTGTCTTCTCTAAAGAAGAACTTATTTCATCATTTTCCCTTTGGCAGTACTTTATGCTTTTAATTATCATAGATTGAAAGTAGGACAAGGGGGAATACAGGATTTGACTTTTTCATTAACCTTATGCAAATGCTTTCAGAGTCCATATGTTAAATAATTAGCACTTTTATAATAAGACAAAAACCAAAACAAAATAAAAGCTACAAATCAGTCATTTCAGGACTCTTGAAAGTCCAATTTCTGCTGATTTCTCTGTGAAGCTTTCAGTGCAATAAAAATTTAAAGATTTATCCTTTTCTAAATACAAGAGTTAAGATAAATTGCAGGTAGCTTTTGGAGATTAATTTGCTTGGATGGAGGTATTTTTGTCATGTTGCTTGACAAATGTGGTTGTCAGTCACTCTCTTATCATGACAGTTCTTGTAAGTGGAGAAGTTATTCCCACACTTCATTATTGACTAGCCATTCCTTTAAAACAAGGTCACTTTATCTGTCTTTGTGTTGTACCTTATTTCCATACTCCTGCCCTAAGGAGCTTAGCGCAGCTGGTCAAGCAGCAGTTCAGTTCTACATTCCTACGGCGTTGCCACATACAGAAAGAAGTAGAATAATCTATGAAGTCCCTGTCAAAAGAGCTTTGTTTCTTGCACTGCATTGCTGAATTGGTGAATAATGAAAAGAGAATTGCTAGTGACTTTCCTAGAATTGTAATGAGCACTGGACAGCTTGGTCTTTTTCCTCAAATGCCTCTTTAATCTCCTCAGTTGTCTGAAAGCACAGAGACTACAAATCACTTTTTGTGCTGATGGTTTAGCACAGATTTCCTCATCAATACCTCTATGTAATGCGTCCCCAGGGCAACACAAGTATGGATAATAATACCAGGAAATTACAATCACAGTCTACCCGGAAAATTCACTCGGATATATCTTCTCGTTTCCATTAACATCCTGCTCTAAAAGATAATGTAATTTATGTTTTTCCTGTTTGCATTACCACTTTTAGATTATCCACAATTTATAACTGCAGCAGACGTAGTTTACAGTATGGTGGCCAACAGGTGCAAACGCACAAACAACAGCAAAACACGCTGCATTTTGCCTATCACATTATTGTGTGTTTTGGAGTTTGCAGCATTTATGTGTTTACAGCCAGTGTATTACTCAGCCAAAATAGACATCCTTGTCTTTAGGTTGCACATCAACGACAAAACAACGTCTAAGACAAAGGTCTGTACCTTTTTGTCACTCAGTCCAGAAACGGTGTCGATGTATTGCTCCTGGATCATAAAGGCAGCCAGATTGGCTGTGTACGAAGCCAGGAAGATGACAGCAAAGAAAGCCCAGACCAGAACCATGATCTTACTGGTGGTGCCCTTTGGATTCTCAATAGGAACCGAATTGTTGAAGACGATTCCCCACAGTAGCCAAACTGATTTTCCAATAGTGAATGTGGGCCCTCCGGGATCTAAAAACAAAACAAAACAAAAAAAAAAGTAAAGAGTCAGTTTTAGTGGGTTGTTTTCCAAATCGAATTCTGAAATTAGAAAAGATTTTATTTTGTTTTGGTTGTTTTGTTCATTTTTGTTATAGATCATTTCTGGTTCATATTTCCAAATGGTAGCTGTGGGAGCCTTTGTCTCTCTTAAGCTGTTGAGGATAAAAATCTGAAACTATGAAGTAAACAGTACATTTAAATACTGGGGTTAGCAAACTCTATGTTCAACATTTTTATAACTAGGATAAAGTAGACGTGACTGAAACAGTGATTAACTCAATATTTTCTCTTATTTATTTGCTCTTATTTACTCTTATTCTCTTATTGGAGACAATTGTCCATTTTCTCCAACATAAAATGCAATTCTTTTAAGTTGTACCACAGAAGTTAGTTTTATTTTTAATCTATCTGTTAAGTTTTAATTTTTTTTTTTAAAATAGGTCCTTCTTCATTGATTTAGTCAATAATAGTGCATGATAGAGATAATGCACTTGAAATATAAAATCTACACAGCAGATATCATCTGCACTAACATTTCTTAAGGCCATAGCTGATGTGTAACATAAAATATTGGATGAAAGTAAAGACTTGTCCTATAGAGATTAGTTGGCAACCCGTGACTCTTTGCTCTTTCATCCATTACTGGGTATTAGGGGACCACAAGGCGATGAAATGAAACTGCAGTATCTTGATTCAACAAGAATTGATCCAATGTGTGAACACTGTAAATAGGCTTTCATGCTACATTTTCTCTTCAACCTTTGATACCTTTTCAGAATCCAGTGTAAGGAGTACAGAATTACAGCTTTCTGTAGTTTCAGCTCTGACATTATTTTAAAATGATGCTTTTAGTAGTGTTGAATTACAGGAAAAGTTGTAAAACCCTTATTAGACAACCTATGTCTATGTCTGCATGCAAGGTTTTAACTACTTCTGTTTCTTTGGTCAACATTACGAAAAGAAAACACTGATAAAGGTGTATTGTGGGGCAATGAGGCTTTTTGATTAGGTCTGAAAAATACCACACTACTCGTAGTTTTGTCTGAAGTTATTTGCAGTCTTTTTCGTTCCACTCTACCTGTCGTTTGCTTCTATTCTAACAAACCAGATTTGTGACTGTATTCCCAACAGCGGTTCTCTTTTTATGCATAAACTACCTGAAGGAATGTAGATGTTTGGGCAACATGAGATTTACCTTTGGCACTGACCAAGCTGCGGTTGTACCCAACTGGACTGCAGTATTCAAAGACGAACACTGTGATGGCCACAACTGTCAGACACATGACGAACATCATGACCCAGACTGCTGGACTGTATGGTTCTGAAGAGACACACAGCTTAATTAGGCAGGAAAGTACTCATAATGGCCTTTTTAATTGTTTACTAAACAACAATAATGGCCTTTTTAATGAACAATAGTAAAATAGGTAGGATATGGCTCTAAAAAAATTATACTGAACCACTTCTGATGCAGTCTTAGTTGGTAGCATGTTCTCCGAGTTGGTTTTTTACCTAAAAAAGCTGATGGAGAGACAGTCCCGTTACTTCTAGCCACCATCACACTTATTCCCGTCTCAACAAATGGCACAGAAAAATCAATGATCTCTGAACGCTCTTCGTTTATGGTCAGTGAGCCGATAGCCATGTCCGCTCGTTTGTAGAACACCTGTTGACAAAAATAAAACCTTATCATTAGATTTTGTTTTTGTGTGAAGTAGGCAGATGGCAAAGCATCAGACATTCACTGCTGACCTTCATTATAAATTGCCACATTGTTTTAAACTGCTGTCAAGTTTTCAGCAATTAGCACTAGGGTTGTCAAAATAATAAATACCTTGATATAATCAGTACTACAACAATTAATTATTAAAAAATACTAATTTACTTCAATTTTGCAGAAAAAAACCTTAACTTCTTTAGCCCAGCAGCACTAAAGTTATAAGCTATTTAATTTATTTTAAATGTTCAATTCAGTGTAGTTGCCAAATCATGCAATAACACAATTAAAATTTAACAAAAAAAAGTCATCTGAGTAACTTAACGTTTTGAGACATTAGTATCTTCATCAATACCCTAAGCGCAGATTATGTCTCTAGATATCTTCAAAAAGTCACTGATTCCTTTAGATTTGATGTAAACTTTGTAAAGAAGAGCTTCCCACCACAGTGTTTCTTTCTTTCTAGTTGCAGTTGATTTCAGTTGATCTCAATTTCCTCACTACTTTCCTTCTCTTTCATCATCACAGTGTCTGCACTACTCTATGTGACCTTTAGTATTTTGGTCACTAACGTCTTTATTGTTACTAAAAATTGATATTGTCATGACGATTGTTAATCAATATATTGTGCAGCTTGGCAGGATTTGCAACAGAAATACTTTTCATCAATAAATCTAGATGCATTAAGATCGTTTTACATTCAGATTTTAGTTGCCGCACCCGAACATGCTTTGTAACTCTTTTTAATAAACGTGTTGTTTTGTAACTTAGCAGTTATAAAAACACATTTGATAAGGAACCCAACTCATTTAAGTAGAATATATAAGGTCTTTGTCATTCCTACCTCTCCGATCATCCCGTTCCAGATGCCTCTGACCAGCTTGCCGTGCTTGCCGTTGGTGACCAGGTAAAGGTCGTAGGAGAACTTGATGGTGCGTGAGAGTTTCTTCAGAATGTCAATGCAGAAACCTTTACAGCACAGCTTGGTGTATGGCTCAGTGTGACCCACAATACTGAAAAGCAAAAGACAGTATTTTGTTCTCTCGTACAGTATCTAATAGTTTATGGTTTCAAAACGGAGACTTTTAGCATAGGTTTTACACATTTTGTATAAAAGACTCTTAAGCTCTTATTGCTGATGCAGCATTTTCTTTGTAATATAAATATACTGGTTGGGTGATGTCACTGCGAAAACACTAAATCTTACCATTTTGGTCTAGTTTCTGCTGCAAATATCTTCGTACACTTCAAATAAGACAAAACTAACTTATAAGTAACTTTGCAGCAAGATATGGGAGCTTGTATCAAGTAAATACTCTTTAATATTGATGAAAAAGTACTAGTTTCTCTGGCAGATTATTTCGCGTATAACATGGAAAATGTATTGATATAAGTGAAATAATCTACCAGCGTAACTTTACTGCTGTAAAGTTACTTATAAGTTAGTTTTGTCTTTTTTCAAGTGTACGAAGATATTTGAACTAGAAATTGGACCAAAATACTTGGTAAGATTTTGTGTTTTTGCAGTGATGGACATAAAGGCGTTGTTCACCTCAAGTTTTATTGTAGTTTCTATCACATTTAAAGCAAACTGTGTGTCATATTTTCTTATCCAAGAAAAGAAACTCCTGTTTCTTCCAAGAGATGTTCAGAAATAAGAGACTGGTTTCTCAGAACTGAAAACATTTTAGTTTGAGCTAAAGTGGACTTTATAGGAGACAACCCAGAAGGAGAGCCTCCTGCTTATGATGCACGGTGTGGTGTGTTAGGTACCTAGTAAGCCATGTATTGAAGGCAGAGAGCTCTAATGACACATCACCCCTAACCTCCCCCAGACCCTCAGTCTAATGGCCCCTGGACTCACATATGATAGGCCAGGAGGCGAGGCAGCAAAGAATAACCAGAAACAAATGAATCCTTCAGAGGAAATCAGCCTGCCACAGCAGACCATATGTAAACACAGAGCTCCCAACACGCTGCCTCACCAGCTGCCAGGGTTCACGACTCGCCTCTAACTTAGTCATTAGCAGTAAATTAACTGTTCGAGCCTAACTGCACACGTCTGAGCCTAAATATGTCTCTGTGGTGTCTTAAGAAAACCAAAGTTCTTAGCGTCTTTTAAACCTGTTTGTAACTCTGATTAATTTTTTATAATTTGATCTGAGCCTTTAACTGCGAAGTGTTACTCATGTAGCTATTGTTATAAATGATTTTATGCTTTTCGTTTTGAACTTTTGTGTGCTGTCATTTTCCGAGCTTTCCGTAGGAAGTGTCATCTTTGGGCCTTCTCTGTCTAGCGCAGAGTGACAAACAACAGCACATGTACACTTAAAGGAATATTTAAAGTAATCAGTAAACTAATGTGTGTTTTTAAAGTTATGGGGAAAGCCGGATTAAATCTCCTGACAGAACTTAGAGTGAAAGCAATTATCAAACATTATTTTAAAAAGCTTTCAATATTTGAAGCTGCTTAGAGAAGATTTCTGGTGCTGATCCTATTGCTCATCAACCGTTGCTCTCAGTTACATCTTTAATTAAATCAACTTATGATTTAATTCCTATTGAACACTGTTAATGTGTAATTATCTCCTCAGCTCAATGTCATCCTTCAGCAGGACATTACCTCTGAATGAATCATCCCCAGAGTGCTGTGAGGGAAAAGTGTTATTTATTATGGTCCTTCTGAAGAACTTTTTTTTTTTTTTTTACTTTACGAGCTGAATTTGGTGAAATCTGCTGTAGCCTAGTCAAAGCCCACAGTGTTTCTTGGAAAACTACGAGACAAACTATGAGACAATTTAAACATCTAATTTGTATGTGCTTTGTCTGTGTCTTTAGATCTAAATATTATAATTTATTGCTATAGCTTTTGGGACAATTTATCGTCCAGTTAAATTTGTTATTGTGACTGGCCTAATCATGCTCAAAGCTACCAAGGGAGATGTACGAACAGATTACTAGTTCTGCGAAACATTAGATTTTATTTTAGAAACCAATAGAACTGATTAAGAATAATTTTTGATAAGGTATTTTTTTCAAATGTAACTAAAAACAGAAGTATTTTTTTTCTACGATACTATTTGTTAAGTAAATTCTCTTAATATTTCCAATAAAAATTAGCTTCTCTGTTGTTTGAAAATGATCTTAATCTGCGACAGATATGACACATTTGGGTCTTCTCTGTAAATCTGTACAACCCTTGGAAATGACATGCTATTTTCTCTTCAAGAGCTTTAAATCATTATTTACAAAAGCACTTTTGTTCAGAGTCGATTGTTGGCAGTCTTAGGCAAAATCTTTTGTCCTGAAAGAAAATCTCTGGTCTTAATCTTAAATAAGCCCATGGGTTGAGGTTGTTCAGAGTCACATGCGCAATTTAGAGTTTTCCCAACCAAAGATGACCAACATCAATATCAAGCTGTGTCTGTTTTCTAGGAACTGCTCTTTCTGTAGCTGCTGTTGTGACAGAAATCTGATTGTTTTCTTTTTTTCCCAGTCATAATTTCTGTTACCTCTGTCTCTTTTTTCCTCCAAGTCCTCTCTCTCTTTTCAGCATCTAACCCATAATAAGCACAGCAACACTCATAGTCATATCTCAGATTCTGCTGGTATTTTCATCATACAGTTTGACAGGATTTCATATCAAGATTTTATATTATCTGTCTTTCACGGTTTCGCATTTTCAAGTGTTTGAGTGTGCCAGGTTTTAATCTGTAAATTAGGTCCACAGGTGGATCAAACCTCTATGCTGATAAAGTTCTTCACCAGTAACCCGTTTGTTTTGGCTGCTGCTTGTCTGTCTTATTATAAATGCATTAGATGTTTCTGCCTTACACTGAATAATGTCATTTTTAAACATAGGACGTTTTCCTTCCAGTTTTACAAGTTATAGGTATTTTTACATGTGCAAGAATATTTTAATATTAAATGTTTAGGCAGCACCAGAGAACTGGGTTGTAGTAATAGTATTTGTGTTTGTTTTACTCTGGACATTGATGCTTGAGGAATGACTAGGATCACTGCCATGAAGCATTGATCAGCATCCAGACTTACAGTTTTGAAGTGAAGAAAAGCTGTTTAAATCACTCGCTTTGATTTATGATTCAACTCTGGATGAAAAACTGTTGTGAACTTCAACTGCCTTAACAAAAGAAGTAATCTTCAAACCAAGAATCAGATAAAGTGATAAGCATCAAATTATATAAACAGGTGCACTTTGTAACATGGGCTTTGGCTTTCTACTGAGATTTTCAAGTGATTCAGGATATCCTCTGTTGGTTCATGGTTTATGGCCTGGATCCCATCAGAGCTGCTGATTAGCTCATAACATGCAGTCCAGTAAAGCTGTTTCGACAGGTATGGTGGTTAAGCTGCTTTTTTTTTATTTTACTTTTACTAATTGCTGTGAAATCATATTGTTGCTGCTGTGCATACTTAAATGTGTAGAAGCTATTCTTGATTTGTTGGAAGCTGGCTGGATTATTGATCTTTTATTGACTGCTTCTTTAAAAAGAAAGAAAATGCAACCTAATGAAAAGGTTCCTTTGTCTGACACGGATTTTTTCCAGTAGTGGCTGGAAGATTCAGTCAGCATGAGTGATAAAGCACCACAGTTCTTCATAACACTGAAGGGGCGCGATATTCATCTTCTGCTCCCTTCACCTCGTTAACACCATTGTCAGTAATGGATAATGGCCAGTGCTTCTCTCCCCTGCTAATGAACACCAATATCAGTCTTTAGGTTTTCAGGATTGATGACATGGCCTAATCGTCCCATCTAATTGATACCCCACCATGCACCACATATATTTTCCTGATTGGGTCACAGGGTGATCCCTGGGATATTGCACTCTGGCCAAGCAGCCTAATGAGAATCTCACCTCATTGAGTCATAAGAAGCCATGCATGTGCTAATGGCAGGGGAAGAGGCTTTTAATCTCATGGCTAATGGCACACTCAAGTTAGATGCAAAATCAATTAAGATGGCTCTGCTATCACATAAGGGTGTTTGAGGGACTCTACAGTGATCAGATGTTGTTTTTTACTCAGGATGATTGAATGATTGACTCAGTCTGCCAACAGAGAAATACCAGTGCAACAGAGTGCTTGCAGAAGCTCTTTAGGTTTTATCAGTAGGTGCAATGAAAAATTCTGCAAGACAACAAATTGTCCCAGAAATTAGTGCAATAACCAGTAATAAGACCACTTTCAAGTAATGTATTGATAATACAATAATAATGCAGTTTTCTACATAGCATTTCATACTGGAACTGTGAGATAATTTAAATATCTAAAACTACACACAACCAAAACCATAAATAAAATTAATTATAAAGTCTCTATAAACAAATTGTCATAAGAATGGAAATTGTCAAGCTCATTTTAATTTTTATGTGATTGATTAATTGTGGCAAGCTTAAGTATCAGTTCAAATAATGTGCAACAGCTACACAGTATGCAGTTTTAAGGCTCAGGTGATCTACTGCAAAAGTGTCCAATTCCACTGTAAAAATAGGAGGCTTTTAGGGGTGCAATTATAAATCGTTTCTGATTCTTGTGAGATTGTTTATCGACCAATACGTGTATGAGAAACCAATCTTATCCACCAATCTTATCTACTTCTGCAAAGCTCTGAAAATAAGCCACTGTCCCCGTTTGCTCTGCCGTCACAGATTGCTAAAAACAGTCATCCCACTGTTGCAAACATAGTTACAAAAATTGATCTGCCAAAATCGGAATCAGCTGGTCAGGCTTTTTAACGACCGGTGATTGGCCAGAAAGTGCAACCCTGGTGGCTTCCTCTTTGTAATTTGTTTGGTTTCTAATTGTTCCATTCAGTTGTATGCTGAAATTCATTCGTTCATTTGTACATTCTTGTGGCCTAAAAATAATATTTAAGATTCATCAAGACGCACAAAGTATTTTATTATATTTAAAATCAGTTTTTACCTCAATGTTAAACACTATAAAGCAATGGTGACTAATATTTGGGAAAAATCCATGCTTGTCTTAAATAATAAAAAAGTAATGTAAAATTTGTAAAGTTGTTTTTATCAGTGAACTTACGCCTCTGTCTTGTTGGACTGTCGTCGGCAGGGTACAGTGTTGCTAACACAAGTACCAGTCACAGGGTCCACTGCCTCCACAATAACAAAGGGCCGCTCCTCCAGTGTAGCCACAGTCAGGTGTCTGTAATCTGACACCGGCTGTAGATAGGAGCCAAACCGCGGCCACACCGGGTATCTCATCTGCAGGATTCCCATCTCATACGTCCCCACCTGAAGGAGTGAAGACAAGAAGGGTGAATCAGCAGGAGGCAGTGAAACACTGCACCAAACAGATGGCACTCATAGTACTCAGCTGTTCCAGAAAAAGGTCAAAGATGCCAATAACTTGTGGAAGGATGCTCAGATTAACAGATTTGAATGCTTATGTATTGAAGAGAAACATAGAGAAATAAACCATGTATCAAACTAATGAAACTACTTAATGCTCTACAGTGTTCATCCTTAGCTGTGAGCTGAGGTTTTAAAGGGTTTTGATTTTAGATCAGAGTTTGCAAACAGTATAATTAAACATCCAAATGAAACTACAGCCTCTTCTAAATTAACAGTGAGAGGACTTTAATTGGACGTTGATGTTTAATCAACCAGATTCACTCAGAAGCCTTTGCTTTGCCACTGTTGAAATTACTTAAGAAATATATGTCATTCTGATTTCTACACATTATTTTAATCTAAGCAACTGGATATGCAGTTAGTTATAAACAATCAAGTGTAAAAGTAGTCAGTTGAGGAACTTGACCTGTTTCATATGTAGATTGTCACACGTTCTGTTTCTTTCATGCTGCATGTTCCCAGTTATTGGAGTAGAAAGAACCGTGGGAATAATTAGCCATAAAACAAAGAGCAGCTGTTTAGGATGTTTTTTAGAGAGCATTAACTACTTTTCACTGTTTGTTTATATCAGAGCAATATGACATCATTGTAGCTTCTTCTTTTCTATAAAGCATTTTAAACACTAAACCTAAATTTCACCTATACATTTGCGATAATCAATGTAAATGTGAACTGGTTCTGCTATTTCACATTAAAAGACTGCTTCTCTAAATATCAGTAACTTACCACAGATAAAATTGTTTTTCTTTCAGCATAATCTCTGTTTGTGCAGGAAAAAAGCAATCATGTTTCTACACTGCAGCGAGTTTGGCTTGTCACAATGAAATGAAAAGGGTGAAAAAATGGAACATGGGGGAGAAGTGCAAATATCTCATTTCTCCTTGGACTTCAGTTATTCTTCTCTGCTGCCAGTCATATCGACCATTCTTACTGTTTGACTGTTACTCCATTTATGGATATTTTGTTGAAGAAATCTAAATTTTAAATTACTGAAATACTCTGGGGTGAAAAAACGGCTCCCATTTGATTCTCAGACTTCATTTAGTAAAATATCCTCAACTTCATACAGTGAACAGCAAAAATTAGTGTAGATTATTTCTAAAAAACAAAACATGTATTGAAATATAACGTGACCCGAGTGGTGAACAAAATTGTAAACAAAGCCTATAGTGGCTATATAAGTTGAAAGAGATAAGTACATGAAAAGTTTATCTTTTTTCCCCACTTTTCAAAAATTCATTTTCAGCAAAGAGACAATAATTTCCGTGTCTGTGTTCATTACAGATAAACAACAGAATGGCAGCAGCTTCTTATTGCCTTGTTGTATATCCAGTCGCTAGATAACGGTTTGGTCAGGACTAATTCTCCTTTCTCTCTGCTGCCTTTCTACTCCATTTTGTTTTCTTTCTTTTCATCTCCCTCATCAGTCTTCACAAGTCACTTTGACCTTTTGATCACCTGAATGGTTTATTGTGGAAACCTGCCAGGTAACAGAAACTGCTACTGATTCATTGCATTAACACAGATTTATTAGATGAAAGGTGAGCCGAATAATGTCTGATTTTTTGTATTTGTTGTGCGGCAAGACCTGGACTGAAACAAGATATGAATGAACTAGAGATGTAAACAAATAATTGACTAATTCTTAATTATCACAGGATGATTTATTAAATCAAAATTAGTTTAATTTGATTGATTTAATGCCCGTTTAAATGGACCTTCTTTCAGTGTTATAATATGGCCACCATCCTATAGAGTGCGACGCTGCTTATCCTTGAGTTGATAGTTGTAAAACAACTTTAGGCCCTCAAGGGCCGGCATCCTGCATGTTCTAGTTCTCTCCCTGGTGATAGTAACAACCTTCTCAGCATGTCAATGTTCTTCTTAGGCCTTCTCTTGAGACATAATTTTATCCAGGTGCGTTAAACCAGGGTGAGGACTAAAAGATGCAGAATGCTGACCCTCAAGGACTGACTTTGGGCACCAATGTTGTAAAAGAAATAATCATGGTGGAAGCATCCCAGAACAGAAAAGTGAAATGGTCCAAACGGGTGTGGAATGCAAAATGCACGTTATGTGGTTCTGTTTTGAAATGTACTCAGAATACTCATTTTTAAGAAAATGGCAGTTATCAACTAATTGCTTTAGATTAATTCATTAATTAATAACTTGCATCCTTAGTATGAATATTATATTATGATCTGGCTGCATGGCAGTGTGTTGAGAAAACTGGATAAAAAAGGCAATTCAAAGGTGGAATTGATTTTCAGCTTGCAGTGAAAATAAGCCCAAGGCAACAGAAAGTTAAGCAAAGAAAATAGATTGCCTTCCACATGTTGGCTGGAATTTAGTGAAATGAGCAAAATATTGTTCTGTTCGAGAGTGAGATTTTCTTTTTCTGGCTTGAAAGGTTTATGTAAAGGTCAGCATGGTGGAAATAATGAGAGGAGAATCAATGAAGCTGCAACTTGGGTTTAAATCTCACATTCATATGAAACAGGTTCATGTCCTTCCCAGAACTTTATGGTTCAGTTACTTTATATCTTTTGAATGCCAAACAAAACACAAACTGTTTTATTTGTAGTTCTCTCTGCGGCGGGGAAGCGTGATCAACTAAAATATTTAATTTGAAAGCTTCTCCACTCCATTCTGCTTCTTATATGTTTTTAAGGGAATAATTAAAATTTGGTTTAATTTTTCATGATCACTTAGTAGTGAATTTTTGTCAGGTGTACAAATATTGGAAAGAATACTTTCTTTCCAATATTTGGAAAGACGCGATCTTCCTTTTGGAAAGAATATTGGAAAGAAACTGTTAAAGAATCATGTTTTTTCCCCCCCAACAACTGTAGAACAATTGAAACACAGACATTTCTCCAGTATTTTACTATGCATTGTAATCTTGCAACATTTTACTCAGGATTAATGACTTGGTTTTAACAATAAGCCAAACTGTCACAGAAATGGTTGAATTTAATTAGGCCCGAGCAGCTAAGCGCTGCGAGAGCCTATTGAAACTGTGCTGTAAATTATTATTCTTCCGTAAAATAAATTGGCTTTTTGNGGGAAAAAATTATGAACAAGAGAATGATAGTATTTAGCAAAATATTACTCACTGGATTTGGCAATAAGGAAAACGGCACCAAGGATGAAAGCAACAAACCCCCTCAGGTATGACATTTTCTCCTGTCAGTGTCTTTGATCTGCAGACGAATGTGCCCTTCACTCTGCTCTTCCTGCTTTTTATATGTTATCTCTAAGGGTGTGGTCTGACCACTAAAATGCCTTTTTAAGTAAAAAAATATGTGATCATGAAATTGTGATTCTTTTGCCACACCCAGTATCAAAAAAAGTTACTGCATGTGGAGCTCAGACCTTGCTGGGACAATTTTAACTTCTTTTGGTCTCTTAGAAGCCGTCTGAGCACAACCAGTTGGGATCCCTTTTCCAGTGTGGGTTCCAGTATATGCCAGAGAATGACCACTCAAGTCCGAAATTAAAACTCAAATTGTTTCTAAGTTGCAACAGAAAAAGACCTCTGATTCTGATAAGATTTAATCCTTGAGATGAGGCCTGTGTGGCCACTCCACTTTAAGATCCTTCATTACCAGTCGGTCTGTGTGGAGCCCACGCCATGGATATCTTACCAATGCATCAACCTGTGATGGAGAAAGTACTCAAACAATGTACTTTAGTAAAAGTACAAGTAAACAGACCTAAATGTACTCTAGTAAAACCATTGGCATCAACCAGGATCTATCTCGATATTGTGCCTCTGTGACTATTAACCAGTATGACCTTGGTGCAAAAGTTAAGTGGATTCTCAATGCCGTCCAAAGACTGTAGCAGTAAGTAGGCATGGATAAAAAACCCACCACATTTATACGATTCTCCAGGAAACCATTATTAAGACCATCAATGTTCTAAGAATAGGAGGCTGTTTATGTTCTTAATTCACTGTAAAAAGACCCAATTTTTATAGTGAAAGTTTTTGTGGATTAAACCACAGTAACACAGAGAGCTTTCTTGGAGTAAGCAGAAATTGATCTCCTTATTGAGGTGGATTCCAGTCCATGAATTCCTGGTTCTGTCTAAATTTTGATTTCACAGTCCATGATTTTCTTTTTGCTGCTTTGTTCCACTTGATTTCCTGGTTTGTTTCATTCAGGCTTGCCTTCATTCTCCCTCGAACATTGTTTTCATGCCATGTCCATGTCACTGTTACTGTATCTTGTCAGCAGCCCTTTGTGTCTTTAAATGGTATTTCTTGCATTTGGCTTTCTGCTGAATGCTCTCCTCACCTCCATTTTTAGGTCCTCCTTAAAACTGAACTTGGCACTGTCCTACTGGGTAATATTTAACCTCTTGGAGTTGTGCACTTGTTGTCTGACTAAAGCTAAAGAATAACAAAAAGATAAACACAAATAAAAAACATAAAATCCCTCATACATGAAGAGTTAATGAGAACTATCGGTCATCTCAGCACAAACTCACTTTTAATTCTTTTGGTAGGGTGTGGATGTTTATGAATATCAATATTAATAAAATTAATTATGATAATAATATCTTAGTCCTTAGTGCTGGGAAAAAGGATGTGCCCTTATATTGTGTATTTTTGTCACATTTCCAATCAATTCTAGAGATTCTATTTTTTCTATATATTTATTTATTCTATTTATTTATTCTATTGTGATAAATGCACAAGAAAGGCTACTGTGCTCAATCATCACTTTTATTCTTTGTTCTTTGTTAGTAAGCAGTTCCAGAAAGCAAATTATAAACCTTATTTTAAATTTCCCTTTCATATGAAATAGAGAATTCTATGACATATCTATCTATAATTAAACCAAGATCTGTTCTGAATATGAGTAATTATAGAACTTCATTCTTACAAGTGCAAGTATATTAAAAAAATTGTGTTTGATTCATTGGCATAGACAATATTTATAGTTTAGGCCTTGTA